CAGAAAACCAACGGCAGAAAACCAACGGCAGAAAACCAACGGTAGAAAACCAACGGTAGAAAACCAACGGTAGAAAACCAACGGTAGAAAACCTGTTTTTACATGACTAGTGAGTTAATAACATTGTCTCCACGTTGTAAATCTGCATAAAGCTGTTCTCTCAGGTTATAACACGAGCCTAAGACTCTCTTAATTGCAGCCCCAAGCTCAGAGCTAGGAGATTTGTCTATTGGTGACAAGTTCTGCCAGACAATTGTTCCAATAATTACATGGTCTCAAAATTATAGTTATTTCCATATCAACTTTCGCTTCACCGTCCTTCAGTATTTCTTCAATAGCATTTAGATTGGCTACATTTGACTGATGTCGTGATGGTATGATAGCTACATGATGTCTACTGTGGTAAAGTTTCATGATATGATATCTACACTAATAATCGGTTCAATCACATGAATTTATTATTAACAGCTCGAACAGAGTTGTTACTCAAATATGTGAACAATCGTCTTCTACACGCCATCAATGCGGAATATCAGTATTTTATTCGGAACTTTTATTTGGATTATCTTCGCCACATTCCTCCCCGAATCTGTATAGCATTCTCCTTTATGGTGACCATTCGGTCGTTTTCAATGCTATAGACCCGTTATTCGCTTTCGTGTTAATTATATCGACCCCCAGGATTTGCCGTGCGATCAAAATATTAGGCGGGACAGCGAGGAGAACGTGAACTAGTGGTACTCAACAGCACTTACTCTCTCGCATTATTTCTAAATTTGCAAATTTCGAAACTTCAGACTGTTCAACGAAAGTGAGATCCACACTGCAGCACCCCCAAAAAATAAAGAAAAAATTTGGAGCGGTTTTTGAGAAAAAAGTATTTTCCTTTTAAATTGCCTGTATTTCTCCGAATCAGACGGCTGAGTGGTGTATTTCTCACCAAATTACACAAAAATGACTCACTTTGGAAAAATTAAACATGAACTTATTTAAAGATCCGTCATTAAGGAACAGGTTTTGTTATAGAAAAAAAATTACCTTCAATATTTTAGAAGTGCAAAGACATCCCCCCAGAAAATTCACTTTTTCAATTTAAAAAAATCATGGACTTCCATGAACATGAGACCTACACCATTCTCTTAAGTGTCGCTATCCGAAGACAAAGTTTTATCAAGCAATTTGGTGCTGAAGGAGATGCCCCACGATAGTAGAAGCCATGAAGCGAGTACGTCGGCATACATGGTATTAGAGCAAGATTCAGATAATTGTTTCCTTTTTTAGGTGAATAAAAGGCAATATACAGTTACAAATTCCGTGATGGTTGCAGATATCTTGTGGTAATCCATAATTTGGTAAAGGAAATAATCTCCACAAAAGGTTTAATAATTTTTATTAATTATTATTCAGAGTTAACTTTCGGGGAAACACTTTTCCCAACCTCAGTGGGTCTTGCCCAAGCAACGTGGATCACCCAGAGAAAGCCTCTTCTTGGAATGGATGAAGAGGAAGCCTTCCTCTTCTTCCATTCCAAAAGATTTGCAGTTTTCATATTTTTTGACCAGCTTGTAAACATTCGTGGGTGATTCACTGATATTCTCTAATCATTTTGGCCGATGTCACGGTCTCTGGAACTTGAAACCAATATTTTAATTTTGGAGTATACTTTATATTATTCCCGTCGGACATTTTGAAGATATTCAAAAAAATTGCTCAAAAATTTGATTACATTTTTTTCCTGGATAGTGCGAAGGATGTTTAAGATATATGTGTATGTCTCATGTTCGTTTAAATCCCTAAATTTTTTAAAAGAGAAACAAACCACACATTTTTCGAAGTCTTCCTACCACTAAAATATTGAAGATAGATGTCCTAAAAAGTTGGAATCTTAAAGAGATCTTGAAACGAATTCATGTACAACGTTTCGAAAATATGAGTAGTTTTCGTGTAATTTTCTCCGAAATATGGGCAATTTTTTATTTTCTCAAAAACTATATCACAAAAACCATATTTTTTTCATTATATTTTCTCCACATATGTAATAAAGGGCGAAAAAATATATGGTGCTAGTCGTATTTTCGGGTATTGCCCATTTTTTCGAAACCGTTAGAAAAAAGGATTGTACATTTGTTTGAAAAAAAACAACAGTAGTTTTCGTGAAATTTCTGCTTGAAATTAATGAAATATATACAGGTATCCCACCAACTACGGTTCACCAGAAAAATTCTCGAGGCAGCGCGACAGGCAGCGCGACAGGCAGCGCGACAGGCAGCGCGACAGGCAGCGCGACAGGCAGCGCGACAGAAAGAAGCGCACCCATTTTACTGTCAATAAACTTTGCGGTATCGTGGACGCTCAAAACATGGAGTCTGGTGTGGATTCCACGTGTTATAGAATTTGTGTGCTTCTGTATTTAGTAACTGGCTTTATCTACTTTTTCGTTACAAAAAAAAACGGCAATAATATTTTTGTGTTGACATTGCGCACGATTACAATACTTTCTCTTCTTACGTTAGTAAGGGGAGAAAGTAAAGGATGAAGATAAAGAAATGGAAAAGAAAGAAATGAACAAGAACCAAAAGAAGCCAAAAACAACAATATTCACTTAACCTTAGGTTCATTTGGTCATTCAAATCTCTCGTTTTATGGAGAAATAAAGATGGACCTTGGTCTATATTACATATTTCTGTAATTACCTATCAATTTAATCAACAAACCGTGAGTAAAAAACATTTAAATGACAAACCATATTTAAAAAAATATCCATTAACCATAAAAGCTTTTGTCCAACATAAAACATTTAACCTTAAACTACATTTTAAAAACAATGTTCAAAATCAAAACAGAATGTTTCAGCAAATGAAATTCAATGAAGAGGTTTATTGGTATAGTGAGTAAACCTATACAAATTTACTTTTACAAACATTTATTTCTGTAGGTCTGGACATAGTAATAATAAATAATTGCTACTTTCTGCGTAAAATAGATTATAAATTAAATGGAGGCATTCTATTGATATAAAAATTGATATTTTGACATTAAGGGAGGTTATTTTGTTCATTGTAAATGATAATCTACTCATGATTGAGTATTGAATCTCTAAGGATATCTGCACCACTAACAGACTATGACCCTGAGAATTTATTTTCTTCTTTAACTTTAAAATTGTGAATTGTATGTATATAGTATATTTAGTATTATAGAAACACTCATGTCAATAATTTGAATAATTTTTTTTTTTTTGTATAAAATGTTAATCCTTAATATATTTATTTTTACAGCGTCTGATAGAGGAGACAAAATCCCTCTTACATCATGTTCAATAATTAATCAAATACAATCAATTAAAAGAAGGTGACAGTCAAAAATAAATTTTTGGACCTTATCTCTATGTTATGTACTAATGTTAAGTGTAATGTTTGCAAACTTATTTAGTAAAAGACTTCTTTTGAAAGAAATTATTCAAAATAGATTACTGAGAAAAGCGTATTGATTAAAATATTTAGTTTAAAGAAAAAATTTGTGCTGACATATGACCAGGCTGTTAATTTCTATTCCTGGAGATAACAGAAGTAAACTCTTCAAGAAACAAATTTGTAAGGTGAAAAGAGAATTAACAAATATGTTACCAATAAGTGCCCCTAACATAAATTCCAAGTCTACTCATAAGTTATACAACTTTCCAAATCATACTTCATACCAGGTATGATTTTCAAACTATAATTGCTATTGGAAATCAATACTACAACAAATATCTAGAAAATAGAAAGAAAACATTTTGAAGGTTTTTGAAAATATATGACTTCATGTTACATAATTATATTTTGTACTTCATCGCTTTCTGATAAAATATTTTTCGCAAGTAAGCTATTTTACTCAAATAATCTTTACCTCAAAAAAATTGTCCAACATTTTTATTGTAGCAATAATAAACATTCATATTCAATATAAGTATTATTGAATCCAAGAGCAAATAGGAAGATATACAATGAAAAATTAATCACCTCAATTTTGTTTAAATAAAATTTTCAAATACAAGAAAAAATTTTGCAAAATTATTGAAGTTTTTCTTATTGAGCAAATATTCTCATTAAAATGTATAAGGATTTATTAAATAATTTACAAAATAAAAGTTATGTATTACTATACAAAATCCCTCAGGTTAATGAAAATGATAAAATACAAATGTTTTTACCTTTTTAAATGATAAAAAGCCAATACAAGTTTTTAAAATCTTGGAAAAGGAGAGCAAAACAATGTTTTTTTCAGTTATATTTAATTGCTAATGGTTATTTTTAGGAAAATATACATATGGAATAAAAATATTAAAAAAACCCTTATTAATATATTATTAGTTTGGCCTTCAAAGAAAAGTCAATAATTTGGCAGGTCATACTTCAGTCATTGCTAAGAAGCAATGATTACATTAATAAATACAATATTCTACACCTCAGCATCATTATTTTTATTTCAAAGAGCTTATTTGACAGCATAAATGAAATTTTTGCAGAGAGGATTTTATATGACATTTTAAAACACAACAATTGCTAGTATCCTGCAATGCATTAACACTTTTTTTAAATACATGTCATAAACAAATGGAAACTAATATAATTATAAAAAACAAACATTTTATTCTAATTAAAATTTACACAATAATTTCAAAGCTTCTGTTTGGACTCTTCAGGTATATTGGTATATATCAATGAAATAATTATTGGCAAAGGTGATAGAATATCAGTTTTAAGAATAAACTTTTCTGATGTAAAATCTGAACAGTAGATCAGAAAAATTGAGTAAATTTTAAAAAGAATAAAGTGTCTTTTTAATAATTGGTTGAAATGTTTAAAGACAGAATACAATATAATATTATATTTACTCCCATTAATCTTCTATTAACAAAGATAAGAAGTTATTTTTCCCTATGCTACATTCCCATGTACTCATAATAAATTGTGCAATTTCTGTAGAAATACCGGTAAGTATGAAAATTGTTTAAATGAGTAAACCACATTCACTTATTCTCATTATCTTAAGTAATAATGAATGTTATTGACACCATTTTTAAAATCATATTTGAATATTCATAAATATGTATTTTTCTAAAATTATCATCCTATACAGCCTGAAGTTAACTGTTGTTTGTTTTCGTCTTATTATTTCTTTGTTTTATTTCAATGCAACTTGAATTTCATGTATTTTTCACCATATTTCATCATTTTCAATCTACAATTAAACTGAATCATGTTCACACATAGAATATTTTAAAAAGGTAAATATAACTTACATCATACGCTGCTGCAAATATCCTTATAGAATTTACCACCTCTTTCTAGGTGTCTGATGCTGTGGTGGTACTCGGGAGTAGCTTTGATGTCACTGAAACATACAGGATTACACAATAACTCCGCCCACAACCATTATTGGCAGGAAACTAAGGCGCACGAAAGCTGTCAAGCGCCGAATAAACAAAGGAATAACTGTTCGCAGGCCCGAAGGCACAGGAATGTCAGGCGGTGTGAAAACTGAAGCCGTTTTGACAACTTGATACCATGACCAGTTACGTCACACCTCCACGTTTACTCATTGCAACTTATCAAGTTTCTTCTCCGTTCTTGGAATAAGGATTGAAAACTGGAGGGGAAAATGTTAACTGCAAATGGTATGGGAGTTATATTAAGTGTTCTCCATAAACATCACGTCATGGATTACGTACGCGTGAATTGACCTAAAAATAATAAAGTACACTTGCATTCAAAACAAATATTTTGCATTCTTATTAGTTTATTAGACCTGTTATGTCTTCTGCGCGAAAAGAATATTGAGCACAACAAAAACGTCTATTTATTTAACGACATAAACTGTTAGGAACTGTCGCACTAAGGGGAGAAGGGCCCATCTGTGTTCGGTTTCTGGAGTTTTGAAATCTCAACTCAAATACATCTTTTTTAATAGAAGAAGACAATGTAAAAAGAGTTAGCCTGAGTAAAGGTAATTCATAGCGAGAAAGAAATGTTTTCTGTCGCAGCTGCTGAATGAACATAAGATGTATGAACATCTGTAATTTGTATAAGAAATAAATCATAATGTGTTTCTGAGTCCGTTGCGATCCTTAAAATGCGCCTGTTTCTTGGGTTAAGCTAAATAAGCGAAGAGAATGACAAAAGAGATAGTGAATGGAGTTAAAGATTCATTTGTGATGTCGGGAATCAAGAAACTCACACATCTTATGAGCAGTTCAGAAAAAGAGGTCAAATTCCAGGAGGTCAATTCACTGTATACACAATGTAACATGGAACTTTCGGGATTGGGACACAAGGTCGCATTAAAGCAAAATATTCTCGCAATTGAACGCTCGCAAGTGCAACACTTGCAAACGCTTTATCAGAGGCGTATCTACGTTATGGGAGACATGACACGTGCCATGCGCGCCACTCACGGGGGCACTATTCAGAGTAAACCGGCTAAAACAAATGAAAAATAACTTATTTGAAGCATCCTGACATGGAGACAAATCATTTGCTTGCCGTGGGCACCTGAGTACCTAGACTTGCCTCTGATCGCAAAGGTTACTGAAGAATCACCCCTGGAGGTTTCCGAACTATATTCCAGGGTAGAATAATGTCAGCAAAACACCCCTGAGTGTATTGTCACGGCTAAAGTTTATGTTAGAAGTAGCCAGTTAATTCGCCCATTAGCGTGTGTTCGTAAAGATCTAGGAATGACAAAAGGACAATTTGGACATTAAACGGCTGACACTAGCTAGATAGCTAGGTCAAATTGAGGCGCTGTCTGTAGGAGATTTCTAGCGGCCGGCTGATTTGATCAGTAGATTTTCGTTTTTTTCCCGATCAACACCAAGCGAATGCCGGAACAGTACCCTAACTAACGGGCCACGGACTTCGCACGATATGTTCTTTCTCTTTCTTGTCCTTTCTTCACCCCTTACATGCACACACTTACACCGATGCTTAGAGGCCATGGCAACGCGAACGCGAATGCTTCTCAGACGTCCTTCCATCATTTTTTTTATTCTAAGTGTCCTCCTAGCATTTTAATCCTGTTGCCATGGACCCTTGGCATCCAACGTCTGCCGGGTCAGGCAACGTCTGGGAGTAGGTTTAAGTAGGAACAAATGACAGAATTACTTAGGATAGGCACCAGGGGCTTCAGAGATACTCAGACAAGCCATTGGCACTTGGGGGAAGGGAAGGGTTGTATGACACGAAATGAACAATTTGGGTAAGGAATCGTTATTAATATATTAGTATTGTTATTAATATAAAGAGATGTCCTTACACACGGCCACCGTTACACAAAGGATTCATTAAATGTATATTTTGAATCAACAAACCCAACCTGAATAGAAAATGAATTCAAACACCATTAGTAATTTATTCATTGTCTTCAATAATTGACAAATTCATAAAATCAAGTTTCAACCAATGCCAGAAGAAGACAGAAAATTTCTACTTCCCTCAGCCGCCGTGTCGTGCACGTGCTATTTCACAACACATTTGTAATAAAAGAAATTAATTGCCTGTGATCGAGCACGTAATTTCGAGCAAAAACATGCCCACCGAAGGAAATATTTTATTAAATTAGTATCTGAAAGAGAAAAATTTTACAAAACTCGAGTTTTTGAATTCAAAATATTAATTAAGACTCGAAATGAATTCCCTACTCACCAGAATCAATGAATATTGTTGGTAATGTTTCCTTCCTGATCATTATCCAATGTTTCATGTGGTTGGCAATATTTTAAGGAAATTTGTATGTATTAATAGATAAATATGAGACTTTTCTTGAAATAAAATTAGTCGCTTTAAACCACGACGCATTTTATTGCTGAATATTTAATAATGGATTTTATTAAATGCTTTGTCAACTAATTACATACCATATTAAATTTAAAACAGTTTCACAATACGTTCAATTACATAATGGCTTTTGTTTTCAGTATATCATATCCCACAATACGTTTTTGTTTAAAATACAATTTGTAACACATCGTTGTTCCACATTACTTTCAAATCCACAGTACATTTCGTTTAGTTCCACAATACATTTATCCTAAATTTCAACTTGTTCCGTAGTACGTTTTGTTCGAGAATATGTTATGTTTTACAATGAATTGTATTTCAAAATAAGTTTTATTTCACACATTATTCTTGGATTTCATTTAATATTCGAATCCAAGTTGCTATTACTTTTCCCTTTACTTTACACGTATAAATGTTTTTACAGTGAAGGCTAAATTATACAAGTATTGCAGAAAAAAGTTATCAGCTTCCCGGTCATGTAGAGAAATCGAAAATAATCAGTTTATGTATGTGTACATGTAGTGCGAAATTTCATATAGGGGAGCTGCACATGTGATATTTCTCTCGGATACAACGTAGACAACTAGTATAGGCAACGCTCGGCAGGTCACGTTCTGTTGCAGTCAAGGGGATTTCATGTACCAGCCGATCAGTCGATTACTTGTAAACCTTGAAAAATTTCACAGGTGTAACTCCATTGAATGAAATAATACTCTTCATGGACATTGGCAGAAGGTGATCATATTCGACCCATCTGCACATCATGGACGTCTGCAACTTGCATATTGAGTCAGATGTGTAAAGAGGTTGTCGGGCGCATAATCAGCCAATCCTTGTGCTGCGTCCTCTACCAAGAGACGTCGAGTGGTGACTCTTCAGGCACAGCGGTGTGGAATGTCTGAGATGGCGCGGGCCCTCGGGGCCCTCGCGGCCCCTCGCGGCCCCCTCGGCGCCCCTCCCGGGCGCCCCTCGGCGGCCCCTCGCGGCCCTCGCGGCCCCTCGCGCCGCCCCCGCGCCCCTCCGGCCCTCGCGCGCCCTCGCGGGCCCCTCGCGGCCCCTCGCGCCCCTCGCGGCCCCTCGCGGCCCTCCGGCCCCTCGGCGGGCCCTCACAGTGGCCCCTTAGCCTGCTTCCTCAGTCAGCACTGCGCCAATCTCTCTCAGTTCCTCCCCGTTCGTACGCCGGCGAGCACTTTAAGTGTCTTCCTTTGTAGCTCACACGCCGCGGCTCAAGACCCCCATCCCAGCGCACCAGAAATATGTCCGACGACGAAGCACTGATGTGCCCCTTTGACACCACCCTCGCAATCAGGCAAATTCTGTTGGGAGTCCGCGCGCAAGTGCGCAAGTAGCAATGGTGCATTTAGACATCTGCCGTCCTGATAGCGAAAAAGACACTGCCCCTTGGATACGCTTCTTCCACGCCGTCTCCCAATCGTCGGAATTTCATTTAGTTGTAAATTACCCCTACATCATAGCCCGAGACTAACCCTCCAAATCTATTACTGAAAAATCTTATTATCATGTAGGCTTGCAGTCCCCGCGTGCATATCTCCCATGCCAGCAGCAATCCGCAAAAATACATTTTGTCCTCAAACAAGCGTTGGCTTCGCCAGCATAAAGCACGCCACTATTAGCATTTCTGAAAAATGTCATTTCATTCCAAGATTGCATTTTGAATAAGGCGGCCAAGAACATTTACTCCATAAGCCTCTCCATCAAAGATTTTATTACGTTTGAAATAAACAGAATGGACTTGCCGCTAACTGTACACCAAAACTCGTTATTGTCAAAAATTTCATTTCTCAAATACCCAAACAGTCCTCGCCTAGCCAAAAACTCCTCGGCTTTCCAGACCACCCCAAAATTTTGTTCTAAGAATACACTTTATTTACAGACTTTATAATCAGATTATAATTTGCGTTGTTAAAATTGTATTACCTTCAATAGACCACGTTCCATGCAAAATCGAAATACACTCCATCGTTTCCTGAATGTATCGGTTACGTCTAATAAAAGTCCAGCTACCGTTTCCAATCCACAATCCAATGTGCATTTGAAAAATTTCATTTTCCTCAACCATCACTTGCTTCGTTCCGATATAGATTCCCAACCGTCTGCCATGATGATCTTATTCTTTCGAATAATGGTTCGTTAATGACCTAATCCATAAAAAGCAGCGATTATTTCTTCCTCTTCAATTACACATTTCCGCCTCCAATTGCAAGCACACCCAACTGACTATCCCGATAGTATTACGCATGATCACTGGTTCACTACTCGTTAATATGCACAAGGCAGGGGATCTACTCAACGTAACAGGTTACCCCATAAAAAACCACAGCCCCCTGATTGATATAGAACGCCAGTACATTTGTTCAAGATAAAACTCGCTTATCTCGCACAGTAGCGAGTTGAACCTTTGTCACTACAAGAGCAGCCACCACGATTTGTATTACCTTTGACTTCCACAAATACACCCTTTGCTCGTCCAGCCAATTAGATTACCAATGTGATTATACATTACAGACAACATTCGGGCAAAAACGTGGTTTGCCATGTCTTTTACCAAATTCACCGTCAACGAGTGCGTAAATTTCATATTTCTACATCCCTCCGCATTCTTGTCAATACACAGACCAACGCTACCACATCCATATACAGCAATTTTTATTAGGGTTTGCTCCTCTACCGCAACTCGACACGCGACCAATATAAAAGGCGTTTTCGGATATGCAATCCACCCAGTCTACAGTAGGACTAAATCTTCCAATACTTCTATGGACCAATACAGTTATGTTCAAAATCGAATCTTTGCGGCGTTAAGCGTTAGTGTAAATGCCCCAACATATGTCTCAATTTGCACCCCTTTTAATTGTTAGAGTACTTGCACATTTGCCCTCTTAAGAACTTACAACGTAATTCCACTTCTTTCGCAGCAGCGCCAATAAGGGCCACATTGAAATCGATTAAGATCTCCTCCTGGTACGAACCAAGCATGTACCGAAATCAAGCATCGCACCAGACGCATGGTTCAGCAACGCGCTCTTCTGCGAAGGCCAGTGCCTCGAGATGGTTTCGAAATACTCACTTCTCGCCCAACGAAAGTTCCCTTCACTTCGAACGAGCGCACGTGGACCCGTGTACAAGCTGCCGAAGCTCTCCTTCCAGGGGTTTGCCGTCGCCGCCCTCCGGTCGTGAATTCGGAAGCGCAAGGCTGCCGGCGTGGAGGCAGCTGCGGTCGTATTTGAACCACTTGACATTCTCCGCCAGAGCAGCCTGGTTGTCCGACGTCCCGAAAACCCAGCACACTTGAGCCACGCGCACAGATCCTCTCCCAAGAGAAAAGCGAACATTGGACGCAGACTTTCTGGAAAGTTCTTCAAGCCTTTAAACCCATCCGTAAGGCTGGAGCGGCGCTGGGTGCGGGGCTGAGCGGGCTGGAGGCGGGCTGAGGCGGCTGAGGCGGGCTGAGGCGGGGCTGGAGGCGGGGCTGAAGGCGGCTGGAGGCGGGGCTGGAGGGGGCTGAGCGTGGAGGCGGGGCTGGAGGGGCTGGGAGGCGGAGGCTGGGGCGGGGCTGGAGGGGGGCTGGCGGCGAGGCGGGCTGGAGGCGGGCTGCTGTTCCTTCCGCAGGGTGCGCCCCGTCTCCGCGTGCATCGGCTCCAGTTGAACCCAGAAGCTTTGGGAGTCAGATTCATATAGGGAGGAAGTATAGTCGGTGCAGGAACGAATTTTGGTGAGCGGGGCAGAAATCGGACTGGAGCGGCCGTTTCGCTGGGATCAAGACGAAGCGGAAGGTGCGGCTGTAAATGAGGCTGAAAACAACGCTCAAGGCGAGGCTAAATACCGAGATGTAGGTCAGGCTGTACGCTAAACAAAATGTTAGGCCGAAAACCTGGCTGAAGGCGAGGCTAAAGGCGAGGGTAAACGCTAGACCAAAGGCAAGGCTAAACGTCAGCATGAAGGTGTGGATAGAGGTGGAGCTAAACGCGAGAATCGAGTCGATCCAAGATACTGTTTTGCTAGAGGAACTGAAGGCGCTGTGGGTGGGTGTTGGGCTGCGGTTGGCGCTGCGACCGTCATTGCTGGCGATAGAGTTGGAGGTCGAGGTGGAACCATCAGCGCCCCTGGGGAGAGCAGGGGCTGTAGCGTTGAGCGGACTGCGGGCGCAGCTGGAGGGCGGGTAACCCGCTTGGCCAGGGGCGGCGGCGTGGGCGGCGTGGGCGGCTGCCTGCTCGCCCCGCGTAGCCCCAATGCGCGCTTCCTTGGGAAGTGAGGCACCGCTGTCGCTGGGCACCGACGCCGCCCTCTTCATGACTGCTCGCGCTGCCGTCGCGAGCAGGATCTGCGCACCACACCACACGCTCCGTTACGCAACGTTCGCGTGAAACTTCGTTCCTGTCCCTGAGAACCGGGTACGCGTTGTGTACGTGATAGTTTTGTAATCGTTCTGAAGGGTGTTGGACGGTGGGCTGTATCGCTACACCTGCTGTTCAGCATGTCTCCGTTTGTGAGGGTATACTTTCTTACGGGGACAAACTCTCGCTTTGAGTTTGGGCCAAATTGGTCGCGTAGCCCGGAAAATTTGACTTCTGCTGCATTGGATCGTCGAGCAGTTAGCAGGCAGCATAACAAGTGTGTAAGTAGGATTGGGGGACGGAAGGCACAGGCCGTGTTAGCAAACTTGCCGCGTGAATTTGCGTTGCATTGTAATGCACTCGTCATATGTATACAGACGGCTTACAAATTTACGTCAGCGGACAACATTAAGTGGCTCATTTGGATAGTAAAAAAGTAACAATTTGGCTTTTACTTGAATGGACAGTAAGGAATGGCCTTAAGCCAAAGCCCTTAAAACCACAATCAATTATATTTGACCCCAGGCGGTCTCGTAAATCAGATCGATATCAAAATACTCCTTGTATAATACTTAACACTATTGTACCTCTCTGCTCTAAATCTAATCCTTTTTCTCTAATATCTCTCTAACTATCAATAAATTTCCAATCTGTGAACCCCATGCTCGGGACACTTGCCGTAATCTTTATAGCCCAATGTATTTAACCGTGCTTACCATGCTTACGATGGTGTAACGGTTAGCGTATCGGACTGATATACCGAAGTTGGCGGGCGATCGAAGCCGTGGATTTTTAAGAGCGAAAAAATCCTTCGTACGCCTTCGAAGGGGAAGTAAAGCCCGCTGTCCCATGTTAGTAGATTTACTTGAATGAAAAAGATCCTCAAGCCTAAATGACGCCTCCGAGCTATTTTCAAAAATCGCCTGTTTCTCGCCCAAGAAATACCTCCTTACTCTGCTAGTTGGTGAAACGAGCGTAGCGAAATTTGCGTGGTCAGACGGAAGAGCGGGCCTGATAGCCGGAGTCTCGCCTCGTAAAATAAGGCATAAATTCAATTCAATACAATAGTCTTCCATCCAAAAAAACTATTAGTAAAATCCTTCTTGCTCCCCCTTCTTGATCACGGAGATGTGGTATAAATGAATTGACCACGCGCTGATACTCTTCGATGAGCTCAAAATACGTATGTTAGGTTTCAATGAAGTATGAGAAGGTATTGTAGTGAATCGTCGTCATACATAATTTTGAAGAGATCACACATTGGTGCATTAAATTTTGCAGAGAATCAATTGATAAAATATATAGATTAGAGACATACACGCACGTGGCATGAATTACTGACATAATCAAATGGTTACCGACCAAGAGAACTCGGTAAGTAGGTAGCTCTTGGTGGTGTGATTCTGCAAAATTATAGTGGTGCTACATTACCAAGTAAACAAACATGATATGCATATTAATGCACATCGTCAAAGTGACGTGTGCTTAAAAATTCACATGCACACAAAAATATTATTTTTTCTAATTATAATATAGACGAACAAAACTCTAATTGCTCCGCCTTTTTAAACTCACAAGTCTTATTACAAGGGCGAGTTATGAATGGCCTGGTTCATTACCTTGACCGTTGGTTGCGAATTTTCAACTATTGCGAGCAAACCCTCCAGACGTATATGGTCCGAAGGAGGTGCCTGCAAGTTCTCAAGATTACGTGTCAGCGGCGGAAGTAACAGAGCTCACACGAGGTGTCAACCAGCTGCCAATGCCCAGTGACCGGATCACGCCCTCCGTTCTGTCGACTGCGTCGTCCAGTCAAATCGATTGTCATTCGTGATCGTAAGGCCCCCTTCACGAGATTAATGACTTGAGCTCATACGGGTGCCTCGAATACGCATATTGCAGCCGACATGCGCCTCCGACATGCGCCTCCGACATGCGCCTCCGACATGCGCCTCCGACATGCGCCTCCGACATACACTTGCGGCAAGAGCTGCAATGACACGGAGTTCTCGCAGCACATGACATGTTCGAAGTTCTCGCAGCACATGACATGTTCGGAGTTCTCGCAGCACATGACATGTTCGGAGTTCTCGCAGCACATGACATGTTCGGAGTTCTCGCAGCACATAACATGTTCGGAGTTCTCGCAGCACCCACGATTCAGGGAAATGCAAAAGTACCTAAAATTCGGGAATAGAGAATATAATTAGCCTACAATTAGCCTTAAATTTTGGATATGGATTGGTTGTGATTCGTTTGGGGCGCTGTTAGGGAGCTGCGTAGATAAATGTGGATTAAAGGTGGATCACCTTTCTATTCAACGGCATCCGCCTTCCTTATCTTAGATAGCTGTAGAAGGACGTGCTCGTTATGATGCAAACGTGCAATTGGTCATACGTAGGAAACTGTAGTCATTATTCAGGAGAATCAGAAGACAAAAGATTTTGGGATAAAGCAAACGAGCATAAAATGCAAACAATTTACAAAATAATACAGTTTTTTGTTTTAATTTCTGCGATAACTTAAAATTCTTAAGTGATTCCAGGACTCCGATAGTTAAAGTGGAAGAAACCTTTACCTAAAATTGAAGCATGTGCCATTTTTTGTAAAAATTATTAGTTAAGTAAAAAGTAATGAGAAATGTACGAAAAATTTCAACATTTATAAAAATAATTCCAAGGTACCAAACTACATTTTTACATCATAACGAAAACTCCTACATTCGCTGACACGACCTGTCGAATCGTCGAAAAGTGGACTAAAAAATATTCTGAATTAACAGGAATTACTTTTGGATACATAATATTAGAATACTGAAATGAAAGGAGGACGGAGAAATTGAAATGTAGAGTTCAGTACACTAAAGAATCCAGTATTGTTACAAGGGAATGCCGCGGTGTGAAATGTCGAATCGTCGAATTGCCCTCAAATTTTTTCATTGAGTTTACATGCCCTTGATAGCACGATATAAATGTGTCTGCCGATACATACTGCCAATTACTTTGCAAATTTCAAAATTTACGTGTAATTATACAACTGACCTGTGTCCCTCAGTAGATGCAGACAAGAGATCTGAAATTCGTGAGGAAAGAGCTCCAGGGGAGGTAGCTCATGTTCGATGAAGAGCGGTTGCGGCAAGGTTTATCACGACGAAATGTATTTCTTACAAATATGAACAACATAAAAATAAAGTTCGGAAAATATTCTGTTAGTAGTTTCGACTATGTGTAGTTAATATTAGTGTTATTAGTTTCATTATTTTCGTTGCTAGGAGGGGCAGCGGCCTCCCCGCCTTTGTGCTGTAATAGTTTATTTGCTTCAAAGCTGCCTCTTCGCCTGCCCCTCGCAGGAAACGACCTTGGAAGCAATGTCTGCCGCTTGCTGCTAGCAGTGGTGTTGAATCACAAGCGAGCGCGCTGGGTTACACCTGCTCTGCAGTGTTGGCCATTTTTACTTCGGTGACAGCATAGGGCCACAAAGGTTGATAGTGAGATTAAGACGGCATGTGCTTCCGATAAAAAGAAGGATTAGGACAGGTTTCGACATGATACATAGCGGCATTCCCTTGTGAGAATATAAAAATCAAGAAATTCTCTTATCTCTAAACAAAATAATGCAAGATAATTTTATTTGTGATATTACGGTGGGAAACTAAAGGTGTAAAGAAAAACACTGAAATGATATTCATTCTATTACTTTATTCTATTAACCTTAGAATTCACTTGTGATTTGTTTGTATTTGAGGATTTGTTAAAATTAAGCAATCATTTTCATTTCATTCTGTCAACAAAGTGGAAATTGGCAACAATGTTTGAACTTACTTTCAATACCAGATGCACATTCCTTGTTTCAACTTGTTCACAGTTCATTGACATGGTTGGCATATAACTGTGCCCGCAAACGATGCAGTAAATAAACTATCACAACTTTATTTTTTTGCCACAGGCAACAAAAGAAAATCGTAAAACTAATGCATATAATTTGTCCCAGTTATCAAACAAGTTTAAACTCATGAATCCTTTTTTAATATTTCAAGAGATCTTATACTTCGTCAGGCAAGTTCTTTTTAATTTCTGTGATAATTGAATTACGCAGATTGTTGAAGGGATCAGACGTAAACAGGAATGTATTAAAGATATCACAATTTTTTCTCTCAAGAATATTGACGCAAATTCTGACTTCGAAAATTCCTAACATCTTTGTTCTTGCCTCTGTGCTGCTTCAAAAGGCAATAAAAATTGAAATATAATGATAATTTTCTTTAAAACAATTGTGATTTATAAAATCTTTAATCTAGGTACATAGTCCAAATGTAGAAGTTTTAAAGGGTGTTTTAAGTGCTGAATTATTATCAGGTACGCTACAGACTAATTTAGATGTTGTATTCAGTAAAAATTACATGAAACAACAACTTTATTGAAATTAACTTGCAACTTATTCTGTTTGTTACGAAACCAAAAAACATTCTTTTTTCAAATTGGTAACGGTTTCTCGTGCATATTTACCAAATTTATTTTTCATCCTGATCTTGAAAAGTGTTAGTAGGTTTCAAAATTACCTCAAATCTAAATATACTTTTATTATTTCTTAAAATTGCCGCAGCTCTTTCAGTATCTTCGTGGAACCTTCTTGTTACTAACTTAGTTACTTTTAACCGAATCCAGCCTTTAGGGTATCCACAATTAATCCCATCTGACTCCAAAATTGTTTTGTTTTCTTCTTCCTTTCTTTGAAGTGAATTGCTCTTTTCTGGACCAAGACTGTGTCCCCTTAGCATGGCGATGTTCTACGAACACCACTCGGTATACCATTTTTTAAATATTATCAAAACATTAAATTCGCACATGTAAAAGTGAGAGCCCATATTTCTTACGTTGGAAGTTTGTAATATATGATTTGAATCTCTCATACGGGAGAAAGCTCACGTCTTTTGTGTGACAACCACAAATCTCGAAAAAAAAATCCATTGCATTCATTGATTTTGTATCAATCATTGTTAAAATTAGCTGATGTTTGTATTGTTAAAATTAGCAATAGGTTAATTTTTAATTTCTAATTTTTTGTAGAAATTTTGGTTTGTACGCGATTATGTTCACACCATATGGCTGAAGCAGTCTTCCTGTCATAAGCAATTCGTAATGAACAAAGTATCTGCGAAAAATATTAATATTTTGACATTTAAATATATTCCTAAATTACTACTTTGTAGAAGATGGAACTTTGTTTTCACGTACTGTGGAAATATTAGTTACATATACTAATCGCAAAGGTGCTAAAGTCGTAATGAGTACCGAAGCACCAGAAAAAGAACTTGCTTCAAATATTTGCTTATTAATCTCATGGCGGAAACATCCATGGAAATCCCGTTTGTAATTCATTATTAATTTGTCATGTTCAAACCTGGCTATCGTTTGTATAAGGCGTGTTACAGTGTGATTCACAAGACTTTGCAGCTTAATAACAAACTACATTTTCTTCCACAATTATGTTATCGGGATAACATTTCGTCTTTGCTTCCGACAATTTCTCATACCTAGGAAACTTGTTAAAATCTTATATAAAACAGAATGTCATGCACATTATTTTGAAATTTTATGAATCTTATACCTAGGTCTTTCGAATTAAGCCGCAAGTTTGTGTAATCATTCTTCGACAATTTACAATCCAGAGCAATTGCTAAAGGCGCTTCAAGACTTTTCTCTCCGGGTATTTTTGAACATTTGTTGTAAACATTCCAAATTTCAGCTGGAATATCCATATTTTCTAACATCATTTCAATTACTTTCGCAGTGCGTAATTTCCTTCTTTCTTAAAGGCAGGAGAAGCTACAAATAATAACGAAGTACTGTCTTCCTTCCTTAATTCTGATGTTTAGCAATTTTTTTTCGATCCTGATTAATCATCAAAAACCTTTCGCTTCAGTGAATTAACTGTATTCGGATCATTAATACGGGACCTCGCTTCGTACGAATTTTCATTTAAAAGGTTAGAAAAATGTGACTCAAATCGGCTGTCAGTTCGGTTACAATTTTCCCCAATATATTGTGGCTTAAAAAAAGAAACCATTTTGCTTTATTCGGTGGAAACCCATTGTTCTTTTTATCAAACATATCTACTTCCATTTCTATTTGACATTGTACCAGTATTAGTTTTTTAATAAAATGTTTACAAAAATACCTTTTTGCTGAAATAAAAAAAATGCATATTCGATTGATACTAAATTAATACTAAATTTAAGGAAAATTGTCAATGTAACTCAATTTAAAATATTTTTGCCCAAAAATTGTTTTCTATCTCACGTGACAACTAGATCATGAAATCACAATTTAATAAAATCGAAAGTTCAATAAGCATAGACCACACAATTTATAACGTTATTAGCAATATATTATATGCAACCAAATGGAATTCCTGAACCCGTGACAGAAGCAGCATGGGTGCTTTGTTGCCGAAGCGAACACAAAATGATATGATCTACGAACCAGGAACGTCAGAGACCAGGCAGACTCCCAAGCTGCCTAGGTCACAGTTATTTGCATGATGGCATTTGAGCTTTATTTTTAGCAAAGACCGTTATGATTGTGCCAGAGGTAATTTCACGTACTGGTCCATTTCACCTTACGCGCAACCGCTCGAATGACATTAGGCCCTCACGCATCGAATCATCCACTCACTGAGTGCACGTCAGATATCTAGAGCACATTCAAATCAGGATTATTTTACAGGGAGTGTTAAAATCTACACGTGCATTTAATAAGAAACAATTATTAAATTACCTCTTTAATTAACTAAAACTATACAGCTGCGTCACGAGTGCATTCATATATGTATGAATGTATGTACACTAGAAGAACTACTCAAATAGTATTCTAGAAAAAATTTTACAATATTAAATAAAATAAAACCTACACTCATTGCTATTACCAACATTACTCAAAATTATTATCCAAAGTAATTGACTACCCATTATATTTCTAATAATGTTGAAGGATACGAATAGCAAGTATAAAGATAGAAATTCTATTTGTTGCGGAAGAAATATTGATTGCATTGAGAATATTTTTTCTACTGTACTAGGATAGAAGATGAAAATAATTAACATTTAATTTATTTAATTTTGAATAAAATCATTTTTAGATAACATTTTCTCTAACAAATCTTCATAAAGAAATTTAAGTAAACACTTCATGTTCCTTTGTTCACAACACTTCATGTTATTTTGTCAAAATCGATATCCGCCCGGATATCCACTTCCTCTATCTCATACTAATTATTAATTCTGCTGTGGAAGAAATTCAGACTATTTCCCTTTATTTTTAAAAGCATTTCAGCCCTTCATCAGCAAAACATCATATTTGACGAAGTCCTGCGTATTGTTTAGCGTGCGATTCGCGAACTATACACCGTAAACCGAGGTAAAATCCATTGAACAAACTACTGTGTAATGAATCGAGCAGTGTAATTCGCAAATCGCAAACGACCCGGCCTTGTAAACAACATTTTCGTTTAGTTTCCGAATTATATGTACTCATCGATTTTCTCGAACTACATGGAATTGAGAATACGGGGATAGAAACGAATCCATTAACAAGAATGGCTAATAAAGTATTGGAAAGTATAAAGTATCTGCTCTAAAAAGAGGAAACGCCATGCAAAAAAAGTGATTGATAGATTTACCGCAGTAACCAACCAAGCTTTAATTACCGCATTATATGAATAAAAAACGAGAAGAACAATAAGTTATGAAAACATTGCGCGAATTTCTTTAAGTTCTAATATAGCTTCCTAATAACGTAAGCAAATTGCGCCTGTGCGTGCAATATTAATCGAACATTGCTCTTTACTCTCATACAGTTTTATACGGCCGTAAGTACACATTAATGAAATGTATAACAAATATGAGAGAACACATCGGCGATTATTGTAGTTTGCAGTATAGGATCAGAGAGAGAGAGAGAGAGAGAGGTGTTCACTACTCTTGTTTCTTTCACTGGTGTTGTAACGGAGGAATATTGACGGTGATGTATTCAAGAGCAAAGAACAGCAGTGGAAAGGTCTATTATTATAAAATACCCAAGTGTAAATGCGATGGACGCAATTGCAAATTTTCGAAATCCGTACCCTCAACCCAGGTTAGAGGACTAGTTTACGCTGGACTTACCGCAAGATGGTCGTGCGCAGCCCGTCTCCCCTGCTGAACCCCGTTAGACAGGGGCTTCTCCACTGCCAGTCCCGGCGGAAGGAGGGAGGGCGGAATTGAGATGGGAGGGGGAGGGGAAGTAAATTCTCCAAAGAGTAGCATTACGTTTGTGGCTGCCGTGGCAAGTTGAGGTAGAGTAAATCCGCTGTGTTACCACCCACAGGAACGAAAAAGTCTCCTCCATTTTCATTGAAAAGGGCGTATCAAGACGACAATAAAATGAGTGTTTCCGTAAGGGAACAACCTTATTCAATCACAATCCTTAAGTGATATCTTATGAGAAAGGCAGCTTGCTCCCGTAAGTGTCCCTTATGTTCGTCGAGTCAAAATAGTAACAAAAAATGTTGATATTACATTAAAACAAGTATAAGTGAAAAATATGTAGTAAGTACCTGATATAGAGACTGTAGAGACCATATCAAAACATGCAAAATTAATAATTTTTTGAAAACAATATAGAACATTATAGAAAATGAAAAAGGATGAATCCAAACACTAAATAAAGGAATGAATACCCATTTTAAATCCATCCACCTTCGCTTTAAGGAGAAGGAAGCAAGTATGAGCAGAGAGGAAACAGATTAACACAAAACTACCTTCTCTTTATCAGTTAATGAGATTCTATCCTTGATATTTCTTACCATATTGTGTTTAAGGGGCCATTTATTCCTATTTTTATGTAAAATTTTAAATTAGATAGCTTTTTATGAAGGAAATTATTTAATCTAGGAACATATGGTAAAGTTATTGTGTTTCATTGACTGATATATGTTTCAATTGACGATTAAAATGACGCATTAATATTTATATTTTTCTTATTGTTTGTGATAATGTTTACGTATTTAGTGAGTTAATTTTGAATAAAAAGAAAAGGATAGTTGTTTAAAGTGAAGATACGGCGTACAATTTTGAAAGTAGTGTCATGTAGTTGGAATGGGAAAAAAACTATTACTCCAATACCAAACTTATAGATACTGCAATTTTTTGATAAAGAAGCTTAGTTGAAAAATAAAGTTACTTGTGCGAACAGAGGCACAAACCTTTTGAAACCAGTTGGTTTATATTCTAATAATATTTAACATTACAGAAATATCTAAATAATTTAGCAGGCCATTGGCCGATCGCTCTAACGTGAACTGAATGGATTTATTGTAAGTTTCTAGAAAATTTGAAACATTTACTACTATATACAACCTGTTGTATATAGTACTGTATAAATACACAAGAACTTTCTTCATTGTCCCCTTGCCTTTGAACTTGAAATAAAGCTTCATCAATGAGGAGTTATACAAAAATGGAGTAAATCTCATCAAGGATTACTAGTGCAGTATGGATGTTTTCTTACACAATATTTTAAATATGAGTAAATTTCATATTGTTGTGTGTTACTTACACAATATTTTAAATATGAGTAAATTTCATATTGTTGTGTGTTATATATTTGTTTGTGGTGGATCAGGCAGATATTTGTATTGACTTTAATACTTTTTTAGCTCAAGAGATGGTATCATTCTATTGATATTGCCCTATGCCAATGTAATAATACAATACTTCATATTGTTAATTTAATCTTCCAGCTTGCAACACATCCTGTGCTATGAGATTGGTTCACGCAACATGGACTTGGATTTTAGGCATATGGAAATAGTCAGTTTTTACTTTTTATAAATTAATGACACTTCGTGATGTTGAAGTCCTTCTTTACTTTATGTGGTAACCATTAAATTTGAAATTGAACCTATATCTGCCTAAGGATTGGCTTGATAGTACAGATAACTTGAATATTGGCCTGAGAATACAGTGAAACTGAATTTTGTCTTGGTCTTCTACTTCGTGTGTTTTTTTAGGTAAAACCTCAGGAGGTTTTCTTCCTGTTCCCACTGTTCCCACCAGTGTCTAATTGCTGTTTTGACAAATACAATCTTGTGCAGTAATTATTGTCACGTTTCTGTTGGTCTTTCGTACATGCGAAACTAGTCTTATAATAATATCATCCGGTTAATTTGACACTCGATAAAGCCCCCCATCCAACGCCCAAGTGCCACGCGTGAGTTTCAAGGTCACACTGACTCACTGGAACGAGTGCAACGGCCAGCGCAGGCTGAGACAAAGGCGCCAGGGAAATGTTAACATGATTATGACAGAAATCATTCCATCACCATTTGATGACTGACACTCTGTTGTTGGAATATTTCCCGAAGTCATCTCCGAAATTTTCCGTTAAAATACATGAGGCAAAAACGTATGCATGTCGCACTCCGTGCAACAGCGCACCCGCTCGTGGGTTAACTGTATTAGTCTGCATTTACAAAGAAGAGTTTTCATTACCAAGAATTCATCTAGAACAACTGTCTCCATTATTATAACTTCCACATGTTTAGTGTCATTTTCCGGCATTAAAATGGACTGTATCACACATAGCTGCCTAGACCTTACAAATGAATACTCGTCATTAAATTTTTTTTTCAGAGTATTCTTCGCAGCCAAAGCACATTCCATTCCTAATACGTTTTGACAACTTTTATTTTCCATTCACTGAGAATTAAGCAGTTGTCAGCGCCCTTCTTTCTTCCTGGCTTTCTTGGTCAGGCAAACCCCAATCACGAAACACAGACCTTAAAAATAATTGAATCATTTTTGGGGGAGTGTCGCGTTGCAACATCTTGGTCATATAACGATCATTGTGATTTTTAAATTGTAGAGGGAACTATACTGAAAACACGTAAGGACACAAACACACTCACATCCATGTTCCGGGCGGGATATGAACCCGCGACTCATCGAGCCGAGGGAGCTACGGCCCTTCAACCTTAACGACCTCGACAATCCAGGCAAATTTTAATAAATTTTCCCAATTAAAATTTTAACAATTCAGAGGTGTTTTTGTTGAACTGTATTTACTGAAGTGCGCCATACATCAAATACATTCGAGTTTGCTGGTAGGCTAGCTGAGCAGAAATGGTGTGCATTTTGACCAAACGAAAATTCTTCTCTTCATATTCCAATTCACTGTGACAAAGTGGTCCCCAGTCGATAACAGATTTTACGATGTGTTGAAGAGAACATAATATACCATGGCAGTTTTCACAAAATGTTCTTATAGGAGTTTCATTCATCTCTTGAAAAGTGTAATGTGACAACAAAGTGTAAAACGCTGCTGATAATAGCGCATGGTGAGACATACTATTACACTTATAATTATCCACTTAAAAACCTATGGAATAAAAATTGCAATGATCATCTTGATTTACTTTCCAATTTTTAATCTCCCAAAGTTTTCGACGCGTTCTCGAGATAGAACTTGGAGGTCCACTGAAAGTGATTCTATTATTTCATTTTGAAATAATGGTTGGGCAACCAAGACTTTTCCCTACAGAGTTCAAAAGCAGGGAAAAACAAGAACGTGCTTTGGGAAGCAAGTCAGAATGCATATAATCTACAACAAAAGACGAACAAAATTTAAGACATAAAACTGTAATTAAAGGAGGCGGACCCTCGGTACCTGTTACCACTTTCGTCTTCGTCTTCTTTTTTTCATTACTAATATTTTCAGTTGCTAAGGTCATGTCAGATAAAATTTTACTCATGACTCGTGAGTTCTAAAAGGAGCAGTTTCTGGTGGGATAGGGTAACGTAGACCTCTGTGTTTTCAGCTCTTTGATAATAAAATTAAGAACTAAAGTACCGGTGATACAAGTTGGGGTTCATTAACTTGTAACGTGCAGCTGAGGATGTAATAATACACGTTGGGATAATTTTTCTCGTCATCGCTCCACCCTCATGGCTTGATCGCTGAATGCCTTACTTGCTTAATTTATTTACTTGATCAGCAAATGAAGGTAAAAATAGACGCATGTTGTGATATTTTTTTACCTACCCACATATCTGGAAAAATCATGTATTTCTTTGTTTTCTGGTTAAAATTAATTAAGGTGTATAAAAATAGGCCAAACATCTACTCTCGACTTCGTGATCTGGAAACAATAGGGTTTGAAAGAATAATTAAATTGGCAGAATCTGACAAAATATTACCATGGTAGCAGGATCTTATAAGCGTGGCCATCGTATGTCTTCATAAGCATTGTTTCTTACTTTTGTCTTTGAAATCTATAAATCATTAACGCCTTTGCAATCTCTGTATTCTCTAAGAGTCATCTAATATGATGTTCAACGTTCACAGAAATATAAAATTGTGGATTATCTCCCCACTTATGCTCACATCGAGACATATTCTTTTTTGCAACACGGTTCCTTTTAACCAAATATTTTTCACAGGATTGACAGACGGTGTGAAAGTTCATTTCATCCTTTCTTATGCCTAGTACTTGAACAAAATGCACTTACTACATTTGCTCCAAGACATGCATTTATCATTTTGAGTATGTCAACCACTGCTAGACATGAGAAGTTGTGCCACATAGCCAAAGCAATGCACGTATCAAAATATCCCCTTTAGTTGTTGTTGTGCAAGGACATAATGGAGTGGCCAGTTTCGGGTCAGCCTGCTTAGGAATGGCATCAAAACAATTTCCGATATATCATTGGATTCTCTTAGGGATGGAATATGCATATTGCCATATGTAACATAACAAAACTTTCGAGAAATTAAGAGTTTTAAAGACGCACGCCGACAGCTGGTTTCCGTAATCTGAACGAGAAATGTCGGGTGATATGCGGCGAGGCCATTCCCTTCCGTTGCGTCGGCCGAGTAAAGTGGGAAAACTGCAGATGCCTCGAAGTGACGTAAGAAGGGTAGGTAGAATAAAAGGGCGGTGGAGAATGGAAATGAAGTCAGAACTAAACGGGAACACTCCAGATTGAGATGAAATTTGTAAACGCAGTGAAATAGCGTAGATACATCCGGGAAGATGTATACGAACAAGGAGAAGTTGGACCTAATTCTGGTGAACGGTGAATGTGGCAGAAATGCAAAGAAAAGTGCATTACTGTAGGCTGAAATATATCCTGATCGACGGCGGCCTTCGCACATGACTATAACGACAATCTGCAAAAGCCTTGTGCAGAGAGGCGACTGGAACGCAAACACTCGTTTGCGGAGCATAATGGCAACGAATGAGGAAGCACACGCCGCCGTTTTTGCA